AAATGGAACTCTGCCAATTTACACCATCTGAGGGTCTGGTTCAATATGTATGTCAGGTAAATGTAAATTCTGTAAGATAATTTCTAATAACGTTGTGGATAAGTCAATGCAGCTAGACAGATCTATACCAGCTGAGGATCTGGTCCATTAAAATTCTTCATTGACTATGCAACTGCAATTCATAAATAATTAAATTGTCAACAGTTTTCTCCCACATCTTACTAGCCATATTTTACTACGACACCTCCATACCCTACATCAACATGGAATAAAATGATGGTTTGTTCATCAAAGTTAATCTCTCAGAGTTACAGTAAAGCACTTTATCCCTTGTTTGCAATAACTAGAAGTGATTAGTATTTATTCATTGTTAGGCACTGACAGTGTGCTTGCCACTGTACAAGCAAGAGAAGGAAACATGGCTCCTGCCCAAGAAGCTAAGCAATCCCTGTTTATTCTCAAGTTGTCCCATAACTGCTTCCTATAGAGTTTCTTCTTCTGAAGCAGTTAGGTCTGGCCACTGTCGGTGGCTGGACACTTGACTAGATGGACATAGGAGTATAGGAATTGTCATACTGGATCAGACCCAAGGTCCATCCATTCTGGTATCCTGTCTCTGACAGTGATCAGCACCAGATACTTCAGAGGAAGGTGTAAGAACCCTGCAGTAGGCATCTGTAAATTAACCTGCCTCCCCACATTAGGTCTCATCTGATCTCTAATAGTTAGAGACTATCTTAATCCTGAAGCATCAGGTATAATGTCACTTCTAGAGTCTTTGTTTGCAATAAATGAATAGTAGAAATTTGGAAATTCTGGTTATCCATATAGATGTTCAACCTCTTTTTGAATCTTGATAAGTTCTTGGCCTCAAGACCAACACTGAACCAGACCAGTGGTCTGATCCACTTATGGAAAATCCCATGTTTCTAATGATTTCTCCTGTGTGTTTCATTCTACATGTTGACAGCAGCTTGTTGTGAATGGGTCATTAGAAAGCCTCAGAGGAGACAAGCATTTCCACCTGGCATCATCTTCATTAACTGCTCTGCAAACAGCGGGCTAGATTTTCAGCTGGTGGACACTACATAACTCCACTGAAGTAATCTGAATTATAGCAGCTGAGGGTTTGACCCAGGAGATGTTATCACAATAAAATTACACCTACTGGGCAAGGTATTTCAAATGAAAGTATTATGGCTTGCCAGCACCATCCATATTCACAAACCACTTAAAATAATATATCACTTCAAGTACATTAAATTATGGTAGGCAGAAGACTGGTTATTCCATGAGTTCTGAGCACAGTCCCAACTATTTGCCGGTCAATCCAATATGAAGCTTAGTATTTAAAAAAATAAATAAAAACAACAATCTGTGGTTGTCTCAGAGATACAAAATATAGGGTAAAATATCCATTAAGTCAAACTCAGCTCTGAAAAGTATCTACTAAATGAAGTCTGAGATAGTCTCCAATTTTACTCTGAAAAATCCCATTAAATAGAAAGTTTAAAATAGGCACCAGTCACAATAAGTGGAAAGTTGACTTGAGTTCAGCATGCTTGGAGCTGTAATGAGCCCTGAATGTCATGAAGTAGACTTGAACTGGTTTGTGTATGAAGCCTTAAGCATTTAACAGCCATGTTCTGAAGCATACTACTGAGGGTAATTTGAGGTCTATGCTTGTCAATGCACAAGTTCATAGATTCCAAGGCCAGAAGGCCCCTTGTGATCACCTAGTCTAACCTTCTGTATTACAGAGGCAACCGAACTTCCCCAAAATAATTCCTAGAGTATATCTTTTAGGAAAAAACATCCAATCTTGATTTAAAAATTGTCAGTGATGGAAAATTGTTCCAATGGTTAACTACTGTCACTCATTTCCAGTCTGAATTTGTCTAGCTTCAACTTCCAGCCATTAGATCATGTTATGCCTTTCTCTGCTAGATTGAGGAGTCATTATTAAATATTTGTTCCCCATGTAGGTATTTATAGATTAATCAAGTCACCCCTTAATCTTCTCTTTGTTAAACTAAATAAATAGACTCAAAGAGCTCAGTCACTATAATGTTTTCTAATCCTTTAACCATTCTCATGGCTCTTCTCTGAACCATCTGCAATTTATCAACATCTTTCTTGAATTGTGGGCAACAGAACTGGACACAGTATTCCAGCAGCAGTCGTACCAGTGCCGAACACAGAGGTAAAATAATCTCTCTATTCCTACTTGAGATTCCTTTGTTTATGCATCCCAGAATTGCATCCCTTTTGGCCAGTTTTACATTGGGAGCTCATGTTCAGTTGATTATCCACCATGACCCCCAAATCTTTTTCAGAGTCAGTGCTTCTGAGGATAGAGCATCCCAATCTGTAAGTAGGGCCTATATTCTGTGTTCCTAGATGAATACATTTACCTTTAGCCATATTAAAATGCATATTGTTTGCTTGCACCCAGTTTACCAAGAGATCCTGATTGCTCTGAATTAGTGACCTGTTCTCTTCAGTATTGACCAGTCCCCCAATATTTGGGTCCTCCGCAAACTTTATCAGTGATGATTTTATGTTTTATTCCAGGTCATTGATAAAAATGTTAAATGGCATAGGGCCAAGAACTAATGCCTGTAGGATCCCGCTGGAAACACACCTGCTCAATGACAATTCCCCACTTATAATTACAATTTGGGACCTATCAGTTAGCTAGCTTATAATACATTTACTGTGTGCCATGTTAATTTTATATCAGCCTAGTTTTAATCAAAATGTCATGTGATATCACATGAAATGCCTTACAGAAGTCAAAGTATATTATGTCAACATTATTACCTTTATCAGCCAAACGTGTAAACTCATCAAAAAGAGATATCATTAATTTGACAGGATCTGTTTTCCATAAACCCGTGTTGATTTGCATTAATTACATTACCCTCCTTTAATTCCTTATTAACTGAGTCCCATATCAGCCATTTCATTATCTTGCCTGGGATCAATGTCAGGCTTACAGGCCTATAATAACCTGGGTTATTCCAATTAAACATGTTAAAAATTGGTAACTTACCTACATTTCTGTCCCGCTCCACATATGAATGGGCCCTACTGGAGTAATTTAGAGAAAATCTCTTTGGTATGTTGACTGGGATTTTCAAAGGAGCAGGTGCCCATATCCCAGTGAATTAGTCTGCTTTACAAATCGCAGATATTATCTTTATTTCATCAACATATGTCTTTCCAAATAGACAAGACTAAAGGATCCATACACACAAACTATTTAACACTAAGTACAATCATCCAATAGATTGTCCTGGGGGATGGGAGGAGGCATACAAAACAACATAATTACACTAGAAATGCTACATCAGCACAGCTGCAGCTCTGCCACTGAAGTGCTGTAAGCCAGATCCTTACTACACTGTGGATCTAGCAGTGTCTACACCAGGGCTTAGCTTGGCTTAATTACATTGCTCAGGGCATGAAATTTTTCACTGCCCTGAGAGATGTAGTTAAGATGACCTAACTTTGTAGTATAGACCAGCTCTATATCTCCTTGAATCAAGAATCCTGGGAAAGGCCAGTCCTGTTGATATAGTGATGAGAAGACCTTGGTACATTCTGTGGGGTGTACATCTGCCCCGGCCACATGTACTCCATGAATAATCATTACATGATGCTGAGCAATTACTAGTTTATATAATAGTTGGGCCTAATCAACAAGCAAATTGGAATGTTAGTATTTTACACCCACTTCGCTTGCATTTGTAAATGACTGCACAAAGGTGCAAGATAAGGCAGGGAGAAGGCTCAATGTATTTATATTTATTACATGGGCAGCATAAGATTGATGAGTTCCTTAGCTTCATTTCTTTGCTATTCAATGCTTCGCCTTTCTAAATGATGTACACGGCTGTCACGTAGCAATTTTAACTGACTGAAACTTTTTTTCAGTGCAATTTAGAGTCCGAAATGGACCAGCACTAGAGAGAGAAAGAAACAAACAGGGGTCTAGGTACCATATTGTTCTTCACCAAACAGCTTTTCCAAACAGGAAACTATTTTAAATAAATTGACATTCTTATCATATTTAAAACTAAATAAAGAATGAAAGTTCTTTTCCTTCAGAACCATTCCCTAATTCCCCGATCAATGAGGGACATTTGTCAATAATTGCTCTGCACTGGACAATAGCATAGGACAGGCGAGAGAAGCCATTTCTGAAGAGGGTGTCTTTCTGCCCTCAGAAGATGCTGCCTTTATGTCAGGGAAGGAGGAAAGGCAAGAGGAAGCATTTTGCTGCCACGGTCACCTTCATATGTCAGAAGTTGCTACTCCAGCATCAGGGCATGAGAAAAGATGAGGGGAAGCAATTTATGGCAGGATTCCCTCTCATCCATCACCAGTTTCTATACCTGTGCCACAGAATTAAAAGGAAACGCTTTCGAGGGAACACAAAATTATTCGTAGCTAATTTCAGATTTTGCTACCGGCAGCAAAATCTATAGGGAGGCAATTTTCTGACTCTACACCACCCGCACACCTACCCCGCCCCACACACACACACCCCAGCTGATTCTAGCCCATTCATTACATTGAAGGAGGCGCAATGTGACCTTTTTCCTGTATATTCCACCAAGCAGATGGAGATTTCCACTTCAGTGTCCGCAGGCAAAACCAGAAGCAAACAAATAAGCAAATAAACCCCCCCACATGATTTGCCTGGGACCAGGTTCTTGGAGAATGAAAATGTCAGACAGTCCGCCACTGCAGCAGCCACTGAAGTTGTTAATTTCAGGTTTCCAGAGAGAGGGGAGGGGCGGGGGGGGAAGAGAACTAGAAACAGCTGAATAACGGGGATAGTTCCCTGCATGATCATATTAGACCTTTACCGAGAGCCGCGGAGCACAGGGGAATATAGACACAAGGGTTGTGCAGCAGATATTGCACAGCTGTTCTTCTGTCCAGAGCACACACAAACCCCCACCGACCCCACACACCGGGACGCCAACCCAGGGAGGAGGAGGAGGAGATTGTCATTTCGACGGGTTTGCATTTCAGGTGATTGTGTCTCTGTGTGTGTATGTGTGAGTCTCGTCTTCTGCATTAGGACCCAGGGAGAATTGCTCTATTCAGAGACCAATGCGCCTGCGCCGTCTTGAAGTGTCCGGAGACCGGGCTGGCTGGACTGAGCCGCTAGTTCCCTGCTGGCACCCAGCCTCCAGCACCACCTGCGAGCTCAGGGCCGGCGGCCGTGGGGTTGGGGACTGATCTCCACATCACCAGCACAAGCCACCCGAGGCAGCAGTGTTAGAGAGCCCGGCTGGATCTCCTCCTGCTGCTTGAGCCGCGGGGGATGGAGGAATAAAGGGGCTCCACCACCACTGCTATTCCCCCCCTTTGCAGTCCCCCCACTCTCTGCATAGGAGCAAACCCCCAAAGCTCAGGCGGGGAGCTGGAGCTCTGTGCGCAGCGCTGTCCATTCAGCACCAAGCCCGGGCAGCCCCTGGGAAGCACCGCTCTGTGATCCCTCCTTCAGCAGCAGAGCAAGGACAGGCAAAGCCAGCTTGCAGGTACCGGGGCGCCTGCCGCTGCCGGCGGGACTGCTGCAGAATGTGATGTGAATCAACAAGGAGAGAGCCGAGAGGGGAGTCCCCTGCCGGATCCGTCGCTTTTGTCTGGATTCAAGATCTGCAGTTGGAGATTTTTTGTTCCCCTTCTGCTGCTTCTGTATTTCGGTGGCTTTACCTTCGCCCCCAAAGAATTGGGGTTTTGGGGGGGGAGGGGTTGGGGGTTTTAAAATCAGGATCGCTGCGTCTTGACCTCCCCAACGGCAGCTACCTCTGCTTCTGTCTGTCTCTGAAGGACTTAAAGTAGAGAGAGATTTTTTTTAAAAAAAAACAACAACCCTTCATCAATAGATCTGGTCTGTGGCTGCGGCTGGGCGATAGTATCCGCCCCCTCCATCCCTCATTGTGTGTCTGTCTGTCTGCGATCCCCTTATACCTTCCCCTCCCCCCTCCGTTTGTTTTTGGACCCTGCTGCCACCATCATCAACCCCCGCCCCCTTCCCAACTAAGAGGTTCCTTGAACAAATGTGTAGCACTGGATTCTTTTTTGGCCACATCTAACTAAGGAAAGAACCCCCCCTCCCCCCCCATACCTAGGTACCTGGCAGACCTTTGCGACTGCTGTTCTTGGGGAGTGGGTGTTCTCTCCTCTCCAAACCCCGGCTTAAAATAAAACAGTACAAGAGTTTTTAACTGCAAATAAAAGGAATCTTAGGACTGCCAGCATTAATTTTCAGGGTTGCCGTTGGGGTTGTAACATTTGGAAGAAGAGGCACGAGGGGCTGACACCAGTTGGGTGCCCTTTGCCTAGGTGATTCCTGACCAGCTGGATAAATTATCAGTTTAGGTATCGATTGCAGTCAAGAAGCCACCCCCTTATGTGCTTGCTGTGTGCCGTGCTTCCTTGCATGAGTCTGCGACATGCCTAATAAGAGACGAGATGGGCCAGGGCGACGAGAGCGATCGCATCGTGATCAACGTGGGAGGGACTAGGCACCAGACTTACCGCAGCACCCTGCGCACCCTGCCCGGCACTCGGCTGGCCTGGATTGCTGAGCCCGATGCCCACAGCCACTTTGACTATGACCCGCGCACAGACGAGTTCTTCTTCGACCGGCACCCGGGCGTCTTTGCCCACATCCTGAACTACTACCGCACAGGCAAGCTGCACTGCCCAGCGGATGTGTGTGGGCCTCTGTACGAGGAGGAGCTGGCCTTCTGGGGCATTGATGAGACTGATGTGGAGCCCTGCTGCTGGATGACTTACCGCCAGCACCGGGACGCCGAGGAGGCACTCGACAGTTTTGGTGGGGCACCACTGGATAGCAGTGCTGATGACGGAGATGCAGATGGTACCGGAGACTCCGGGGATGGCGAGGAAGAGCTGGAGATGACTAAACGCCTGGCACTCAGTGACTCACCAGATGGCAGGTCCGGGGGCTTTTGGAGGAGGTGGCAGCCCCGAATCTGGGCACTTTTTGAGGACCCCTATTCCTCCAGATATGCAAGGGTAAGCTATATAATCGGCACCCTAATCACCACGCTTACGTCTTTCCCAGGACAGTCCCTCACCTCAGTCCTTCTTGCTAACTTCGTTATCCTCAGCACTACTGAACTAGACTCACTCTGGAGAAAACACACATGTATGGTCACCTTGAGACCTGGCCTCTAGAGCAGGTACATATGCAATCTAGAGCAGACACACATGCATGGGCCCCAGATGGCAGGTCTGGCAGTTTCTGGAGAAGGTGGCAGCCCTGCATCTGGGCACTTTTTGAGGACCCTTATTTCTCCAGATATGCAAGGGTAAACTATACAATCAGCACCCTAATCATCATGCTTACATCTTACCTAGGACAGTCCCCTCACCTCAGTCCTTGCTAGCTTCATTACCCTCGGCACTATTGCACTGCATTCACTCTAGAGCAGACACACACGTATGGTTATATGGAGACTTGGACTCTAGAGCAGGCACACATGTATAGCCACATGTGGCTTAGGGAGGACACATGCATGGGCGCGTGGAGATGTGCATTCCAGAGCAGGCACATGCTGTGTAGAGCATTCATACATGCGTGGGCACATGGAGACCTACACTCTAGAGCACATGCATGGACCCATGCCCTTTCTCACTTCCAGGGAGACAGGAGAGAGGTTCATTAGAGCAGGTACACAGGAGATTGAGAATGAGTTCCCTCCCCACCACCTTGCATCCAAATGGTCACAATTATACCCTACCAATCAGAAGAGGCTCCCCCTTCAATCCTCCTTGCTGATCTAGCCACTATTTTCCCTCCATGAGAAGCAGTCATTAAAACAAGCAGCGAATGTAGGAGAAAGGTTTGGGGGAGCTTCCTGGTTGTAAGGTAGCTCTCATGTATCATTTCCTTATACATGCAGTGTGAAATATTTCCCATCGTGACTCTTTGATAAATGTCCTTCAGTGTCCCTGATCCACCTAACCGCTGTTTCCTTTCCATGTGGAAAGGGAGAGGTGTTCCTTAGAACAAGGTGCATGGAGAAGGGATGTGTTTGATGGGTTTCTTGCCTGGATACTGAAGGACAGTTCCTCCTCCCTCCTGCATGCAGTTTTAATGCAAATTAATGCTGGTGTGATCCACACCATAGCTAGATGTGAGTGTGTTCTGAAACAGTCAACTGACTCCTCCAAACAGGTACCTCTGGAGCATGATGTATAAGGATAATCACTCATTCATATGCTAATCTAGGGACTGATTCGGTCCCTATTGAAGTCAGTGGTAAACCACTCATTGACTTCAGTGGCATCAGGTTCAACCCCTCAGGTATCTTTCTGGATAAGCGAGAGAAATGGATGCTAGATAGGAGCATGGGAAGACAGCTCAACTTGATGTGGTCCCTATCTTACAAATGAACCGTTAAGACAACTCTTGCCAGCCGTAAATGGGCATGGCTGGTTTACTGGTGTGGGAGGATAATCAGTGTTTCATGTGTGTACGTAAGGAATGAGATAAAACTAGAGGAAAAATAAATGGCTGTAGAAGGAATAAGTGGATGAAAAGGGATAGAAGGATAGAGTAGATCAATATGTGAACAGACGGTGAAGGCTCAGCAAAGATCTCTAATGCTGAGATGCCACGTCTGCACACTCAATGAATGGGGCAGAGCCTGAGGTAGTTTCTATGCATATTCTTATGATTTTTGCTCACATACTCTTCTGAGATTTCCTGCGAAAGAAAGAAGTTAACATTTAAAAGGAGCTTCTTTAAATAGTACAGGGATTAATGAAATATTTACCACAACATGAAAGGGCAGTGCTGTTGAGCTGCAGCTTTCAAATTCCTGATATCTGCCAAGGGAACATGGAAATGGGGAGGGAAGGCTAGAGGATATCTTTCAAAAGGCTTCGTCAGCTGCCTGTAATGAACCGAAGTGTTAACACACATTGATTTTAGAAACAGCTTTCTTTTGTGGTCAGGCATGTGCTGCTAAAGAGCATCCCAATAAGAAATGGAGCACCTGCCCCATATTTTATGGCATGGCCGTAAGGCCAAACTGCCAATGTTTCCCATGGGAAATGATGCAAATGAAGAAGAGTTTGTAAAATCATCGCTAACGTTTTGTCATGAAAATACTGATGTGATTTAGATGGGAGGCTGAAGTTTATGATCAACATTAAAAGACTTTGCACAACCTTGAATTCCAGTGGGATAGGACTTTCCCTTTACACTGGCTCATGGTGATAGTTCTTTTATAAGGGAATTCATTATATTCTGCTGATATTATACAATTTAGTCATAATTATATACCCATTTCTCTGTGTTTCAACTTCTACTTGGCCTTAAAGCTGTCCTTTCCTTAAGGTATTGCTATGGATTCATTCATGGAACCATTTAATGATCTACAATCACATACAGCATAAGCATTTTAACAACTTACATAAAGGCTATCACCACCAATACATGCACCCTGTCCATTAAGAAGACATTAAGAGACACTCAACATTTTCTAACAGAAGCAAAATGTAATGGTTGTGTGTGTAAAGGAGCTAAGGAGAGGTTGATCTATACTGTGATCATTTAATGACAGACATCACAAAATACCTCAAACTCACTATAGCTAATTAGCAGTGAAATAATCAATAGCCTCTTTAATATATGGACAGTATGCTAAAGAAGTCAATAGCAAAGTACAGTAATATAATCAGGTAACAAACACATGACTACAGTTCCATCTGAATCGTAACCAACTGTACTATTTTTTCAGTTACTCCCTATATTTTATTCATACACCAATGCTTAAATTAATTGTTATTTTAAAAAACTAAATCATTTAAATAAGCCAATTAGAGCTTATAATATTTGTTAGTGTTGGTGTGAAGATGATTATTACATTTATAAATGCTTTCATGTTTTCCTATTTCACCAAAATTACATGTTTAACACGGTAGTACAAACTTACAAATTTTAATTAAAATCCTTGTTATAGCTGTACCTTGTTATACCCTCAAGTAAAAAAGAAAACAGTTTACAAACTGAACTATTCAGTATATATTAAAAACCCCCTATAGATCACATATAGTGACATATATAAATAGAATAACAGTTCTTTGGATAAGATCTGATACAATTATTAATTATTATCTATCAGCTTTGGCTATTTCCTCCAGGAATTATCCATGAACAAAAAATCAAAACACACAAATCTAGTCATTTTTGCAAAAACATGTATTAGTTCTTCTCTTGCGTAATCAGGGCCATATTTCAGTATAGGGACGGTTTAGGACTTGTTAGAGTAAGCAAGAGTTTGATTATTCAGTATTTGAAATGCATGATTGATCACCTAGGTCACATGCTATTGTGTCTGTTCTCAGATTGGATGTGCATTTGTAGAAAGGAGGGAAATTATGTTACTCCTGGCAAGGCTGGCTACTATGCACATCTTCATTCCCTCCCTCCACACCCCAAAAATGTCTGTGTCGCTAAAACATAAATGCCTGGTCAGTAATAGTTTATCCTATGGATTGAAAACTGGCATATCTTTTTAAGTCTAAGAAGGGAGGGTGGGGGAAGTAGCTCACTATAGGATTGAGGGAAAATAGGGTAATGATAATCACTGGAAAAATAGAATGTACAGGACAGATTTACAAAGGTATTTAGGTGCTTAGAAGGCAGAGAGACCAAGTGGGATTTACAAAAGCTCATAAGCAGGTTAGATGAAATCCAATAGAAGTTAGGCACCTAACTCACTTAGGCACTTTTGTAAATTCCAGTAGGGGTCTATCCGCATCTTTAGAAAACCAAATGTCTTGTAAATCTAGCCCTAAAACTAGTAAGTATAGGCAAAAAAAAAATCTACATAGCAACTTTAGAGGGTCTGATTCCTAGCTGGTGTAAATCAACACAGCTCCATTGAAGTCAATGGAACTACATCAGTTTACATCAGCTGAGGGCTGGGCACTATGTGAAACAAAAGCTCTTCAGATCTACCGGGCGTTCTGATGGCATGATTGTAACAACGAGCATGGACCTCTCATAAGCATCTGTAAGACAACTTTATATATTAATTGTTAAAAACAATTTCCTAGTACTCTGCCTCTTTCCTTTTAGTTGTTTCCTTGTATAGTGTCTGAACAAGCAGCCCTTATGCAGGCAAATTCCCCATTGACTTCACTGGGAGTTTTGCCTACACAAGCACTGCAGGATTCAGTTTCCTACATCCCTAATAAGCTGGGTTGGTTTTTTTTAAACTGACAGTTGTTAACTTAGCCAATATCAGGGCATCTGGAGCTTTCAGTAGAGTTTGTGTGCATGTGCTCATGCTAGCTTTAAACTGTTTTAAACTCTTTATTAACAATGCTGAGGGCTCTTATAGTACTTCCGAATAAACATTATTGTTGCTTTTAAATAAAAGGTTTAAATAAAAGCTGGTGCAGCTATGATGGAGTTCCGTGGAAAGCAGCATTCAGCGCTTGGCTTCTAAATCCTAGGCTCATACGATACTCCCTGTGAGCCGAGGTGAGCGAGGAAAATCAGCAGTTGTGAACTGGAGGAGAGACTTATGGGAAATTTATGGTAAGGGTGAGTGATGGTCCTGCATCATGCTCCCCACATTTCGTTTTGACCCCATGGAAGCCTCTGCTTACTTCCATGGGTGGTACTTGAGGAATGGGTTTCTTGTGTTAGGAAGGGGTAGATCAAAGTGGGAAGGGAGAGTGAGACCGTTCATGGAGTTGCCCTCACTTTCTCTTTGCAAACCCAAGAGGACTGTCAACCTTGTTAAACTTAAAGTAGTTCATCCTGCACCAAGAGAACCCTCCCCTGCAGGAATGTTGATGGTGCAGCAGATGATGGGGAGCACTTGACAACATGGATTCAGAAGGAGCCATACTTCCTCCATGGGGTCTGGGTGCACTAGGAGCCCTTGTTAGCTCTGGTTTCCAAAAATATCTGAAGACCCAGAGGAATCTATTCTAATCCCCCCAAAAAAACTCCAGGAGGCTCCTTAGGGAAACTCAGGGTATTCTCTTGGACCTTTTCTTTTTGTTTAAAGAAGTTGCATAACGAATTATTATCATATGGCTACTGATATTGAGTGTGTGTGTGTTGCAACCATTTTACATTTTCTTCTTGTAATTAGGAATGGCCAAGTTAGAACAGCCACTGGTCCATCTAGCTCAACATCCTGCTTCCAGCCAGACACAAGACAATTAGATGACAGCCCTCATAATAAATACCTTTCCAAGTCCTGCAATGCTCTACTGGAGGGAAGAAGGGAGATTTCTTCTCAGTCACAGTTGACAATCCTAGAAGGAAGGATGGATAGTCCCTGTAACTTTATAACGTAGTTGGTATAATTTTAATTAAAAAAAAATTGGGCCTCTTGAATCAACACTTGCAAGGGACCCTATCTATGTGGATTTGTTCCTAATTAGAAGCAGGGAAGAATCAGCCACCTCCAGGGAACTGTCCCCTCCCTGGAAGAAATCCATCTGGGCATGGGGAGGGGCAAGCCAGGAAAGCAAGAGCAAAGCGTGGTGGGGAGACATGCATTATCCTTCAGACCAGCCTACAGGGGTTCCATAGAGTTCCAGCTTCTGCCTCTAGTTATATTAATTTTCCTGTAGCGCACCTTTCATGCTAAGGCCACCCTTTAAAAAGAGGTTACCAAGGGCTGCTATGGATGGTGGCTCCTTCAAAGCATGCCCCC